CTCCATGGATTTGCTGAAGCAAACATTTGGCATAAGCAGATAGGAAATTTGTCGAAATCAAGAGACATTGGCTGGGTATCTTAGGACACACTAGGGAAGTTCCTTCGGAGACCGGTCCCTGGAATGCTCATGCTCACAACAAAGATAAGAAAAGAAACAAAACACATTAGGGAACTGGGTCAAACTGATGGGCTGGCCGTTAGTGACGTCACATAAATAGTGCCAGCCGAAAGGCGTGACTTGAGGCGCACACCTAGGGTGTGTCCAGACTACACGGCTCCGTCGACGGAGCCATGTAGATGAGGTTTCTAGATACAGGGAAATGAAGCAGCGATTTAAATAATCGCCACTTCATTTACATCAAAATGGCCGCCGCGCTGTGGCGATCAGCTGTTTGGTGGCACAGCGGGGCAGTCTGGACGCTCTGCGGTCAACAAGGGAAGCCCTTGTCGACCGCCCTGTTATGTCTCGTGGAATGAGGTTTACCGGGGCAGTCGACAAGGGCTGTGCGATGAGGTTTACTGGGGAGGTCGACAAATGCCTTTGGTGTTGACCGCGGCGCATCCAGACTGCCCTGCTGTGCCACCAAACAGCTGATCGCCACAGCGCGGCGGCCATTTTGATGTAAATGAAGCGGCGATTATTTAAATCACTGCTTCATTTCCCTTTTTCGAGTACACGAATCTACATGGCTCTGTCGACGGAGCCATGTAATTTAGACGTAGCCCTAGACTAGGCTTTTGTCGTCAGAAGCTGTGTCGACAAAGAGCGTCTAGACTCCAGCCAGTTCTGTCGACAAAGCCAGTCGCTTTCTCGACAGAGGATCTAGATGGTCCCTGTTGAAAAGCCCAGTGTGGATGCAATAGCACCCTCTGTCGACAGAACTCTGTGGACAAAAGGCGTCATCCCTCATAGAACGAGCTCTTTGCCCTGACTGTGTGACTCGGGGCAATCACTTTGCCTCCCTGTGCCACTTTCCGTGGCTACAGGATGGGGCTAACAAACGTCAGCACCTTGGCTACGGTGAGCTGCTGTGAGCTCTCAGGGAGAGAAGCAGGCCTCTGTCGGCACCACCATTGTAGCATTGCGAGCGCCAGTCCCACACTAACGTGGACGCTACCGTGGCATTGCCAGCATGGGACTGCAACGACCCGCTAACAGAAGGAGTCAGGAGGAGTGGACTGCAGAGGAAGGGGCCAGCTTGCACTTAAATAGAAATCAACAAGGACTGACCCTAGCAGCTGAAAGGGTGGCGTTTGGTTTGGCCCTGAGCATGTGCCAGGGTGAGGGAGGGCGGGCTCACGGAGCATTTGGCTGTGCAGGTGCAGGAGAGAGGGAGAGGCCCGCACGGTGCACAAGACACAGCTCCCACAACCCAGTGGTCCGACTGCTCGGATACAAGGGGATGTAACCAGCACAGCGAGTGGCCTGGGCTGCATCAGCCCCTTGCAGGCCCAGCTGTGACGTGGGTGGACGGACGGAGCGTTCCAAGGCATAGAAATGGCAATTCGCTGTGATTCCAGCTAGCAGGGATTCGGAGAAACCCGCCTGGACGCCTGCCCTGGGGACTCACCGTCTCGGTCAGTCAGCAAAGCTCAGGGGCAGCCTTGGCTCTTGGCCAGCTGAACGGTAGGGGAGAAAGAGGAGGGAGTAGCTGGACCCTGGTCAGGAGACCTCGGAGCTGTCCCCTGGAGTCCGCCACTGAGCCACTCTGCGACCTCAGGCAAGTCACGCCTCCTTTCCCCTTAGCCTGGGACAGGGCCTGCTTCTGTGCGCGACAGCCCCTAGCGCAGGGGCTGGGACCCAGCTGAGGCCTTGGGATGCTACATTAGTGACCATGCTTAGGGCTGCTTTTGACCGGTGAGCTGTGTGACGGTGCGTTGGGGGTTCCCCGTCTCCTGCACCCCGAAATGGCACAAACAGACTCCACCAGCCAGTGGAATTGAGGGTGGTTTATTGCTTCTCCAGGATACAGCCCAGCACAGATGTAATCTGATTACAGGAACTGGGGCTAAGAGGCCTCAGTGCCCCCCTTGAGTTAGGGGAGTCCCAGCCCCCCTCCCCAGCTCCTTCTCCCCTGCTTTCCAGACAGGAACTAACTTCCCCTCTTCCAGCCCTGCCCACAGCCAGGGCAGCATCCACCTTCCTTTGTTTCTCCCCATGGGGGCCGCAGGTCAGACAGGTTTTTGAGTCACCTTTGCATAATGAGGTTTTCCCTGCTGGGTCTTGCTCCAGACAGCAGAGGTCACCACAGCCCAGCAAGTACCCCCACTACGTCACCACAGCCCAGAAAGTACCCCCACTACGTCACAAGCTGTCTTCCCAAAGCACCCACACGACTCTGAGAACCTGCCTGAAAACTCAAAGCAGAGCTGCATGGAAGGGAAAACAGCAGCTTCCTTCTGCCCCAGAGCAGAAAGCAGCCAACCAGAAATAAGCCCAAACCAAAGCACCCCCTCCCCCCCCCCACCGTGCCCTGGGGAACTGGGTCAGCAGCACCTGGAAGGCCAATGGGATGTCTTGGACCAAGTGGTGGAGACATTACAAAGCTGAGGGCCCAGCAGCTCCTCCCCTCGTACAGGGTCCATGGAGCCCGTCTCTTTCCTGCAGGTCCCAGGCCATTGAACATGGGACAGGGAACCTCCAGCACCACCAGCGGAGGGCAGTAGGAAGCCAGAGCAGATCACAGAGGAGAGGTGAGAACCACCCAGCCCAGTCCCTCTTGGGGACCGCTCCACAGGGAGAGAACGGGCACTACGAGCTGCCCTCCTCCCCACGCTAGAGCTTCTGCGGGAAGCAGCAAGAAACCGCAATCCACAGCCCGGCCGGGTCTCAGCACGGACGCCTGCCAAGCAGCCCAGCCAGAGGGCCCCGTGCAATCTGCTGAGAAAGGCAAAGGGAGGCTAATTGATGCCAATGGTGAGACCAGGGGCTGCCTGGGTGGGGCTGGGTGGGCAGCGCGGAGGATCCTTGGCTCCAGGGCACCAGACAGCCCATTTCGGATGTGCGTATCCAGTACCCACGAGGGCCTGGCCGGGCTAAAGGGGGGTTCTGCTGAGCTGGATTTCCAGGGGCTCATCCAACCCGTTCAACTCCAGGGGTTCCTGTCCCACAGCTGAGGCTTCGCTTCCAGTTCCAGCCCGCCAGCGTGGGACTGGCGACAGCGCCGGGGCCAAGCCGCGGGAACCCCCAGGGCTCTGCTCTGCCCTGGCAGCACACGCCACAGCAGATCCTCCTGCACTGTGCAGGGCTGCCCAGGGCCACACGGCCCGGCCCAGCCCCTCTCGGGACACGGCGCAGAGCACAAGCCAGGAACAGGTGCCACTGCAGATTGGCCCGCAGCTGGGG